AACATTATGGAAGCACAAGCAATAGAACATAGTCAAACTAGAGTCTTGGACTTCAAGAGAGCTAATTTCAATAAACTTAGAGAGGGCTTGGGAAGGATTCCATGGATGAGAATCCTCCAGGGGAAAACAACTCAAGAAGCTTGGGAAATTTTGAAAAGCAAGATAATAGAAGCCCAGTCTAGCTCAATACCAACAAAGAAGAAAAATAACAGCTCTCAAAATAAACCAGCATGGCTGCATAAAGAACTCTCTGATAAATTGAAAGATAAAAAGGACAAGTATAGAAAGTGGAAAGAGGGGCACATAACTAAATCAGAATATCAACAAATAGCCCGAGCCTGCAAAGATGAAGTGAGGAAAGCTAAGGCTCATAATGAACAAAGGCTTGCGACCAAAGTCAAAAATTACAAAAAAAAAGCTTCTTTCAACATATAAAAAACAAGAAAAAAGTGAAGGAAATGATTGGTCCATTAGTGGGTGAAAGTGGCAAGAAGGTGACAAGCAATAGTGAGAAAACAGAACTATTTAACTCGTTTTTTGCATCTGTCTTTACACGAAGGGAAAAAACAGACCAACCTATCAAAAATAATGCCATAAAAAACAGTATAGAAACACAAGTTAAGATAGGCAAGAAAATGATAAGTAAGCACCTGTCCAGCCTAGACAAGTTTAAATCACCAGGACCAGATGGATTACACCCCAAGGTTCTCAAGGAACTGGCAGATGTGATCTCAGAACCACTGAACTATATTTTTCAAAGATCTTGGAGCACTGGGGAACTACCAGAGGACTGGAAAAGAGCTGATGTAGTTCCCATCTTCAAAAAAGGAAAAAATTGGATCCAGGAAATTACAGACCTATCAGCCTGACCTCAATACCTGGGAAGATTCTGGAAAAAATAATCAAACAACGAATCAGCAAACACCTAGAGGCAAACAAACAAAATCACTACTAAAAGCCAACATGGGTTTGTCAAAAAACAGATCATGCCAAACAAACCTTATTGCATTATTTGACCAAGTGACAAAATTAGTGGATCAGAGGAATGCTGTGGATATAATTTATTTGGACTTCAGTAAGGCATTTGATAAAGTAGATCACAACCTACTAGTCGATAAGATAGAAAAATGTGGGTTAGACAGCATCACCACCAGATGGATTCGTAGCTGGCTGACCGGCCATACTCAGCGTGTGGTCCTCAATGGAACTGCATCTACATGGAGGGAAGTGTGTAGTGGGGTGCCCCAGGGCTCTGTTCTAGGCCCAGTGCTCTTCAACATCTTCATCAATGATTTGGACGAGGGGATAGATGGGGAACTCATCAAATTTGCGGATGACACCAAGCTGGTAGGAATAGCCAACACTCCAGAAGACAGGCTTAAGATACAGGAGGACCTGGACAGACTTGAACACTGGGCGCTATCTAACAAAATGAAATTCAATGGTGAAAAAAGTAAGGTTCTACATTTAGACAAGAAAAACCAAATGTACAGGTATAATATAGGGGGTACCTTGCTCAATAGTAGTAACTGTGAGAGAGATCTCGGGGTCCTAGTGGACAATCACTTAAATATGAGCTAGCAGTGTGCTGCAGCTGCCAAAAAAGCCAACACAGTGCTGGGCTGCATTAACAGAGGGATAGAATCAAGATCACGTGAAGTATTAATACCACTTTACAATGCCTTAGTAAGGCCACACTTGGAATACTGCATCCAGTTTTGGTCACCACGATGTAAAAAAGATGCTGAGACTCTAGAAAGAGTACAGAGAAGAGCAACNGTTTTTAAGAAGAGACTGGACAGCCATTTGTCTGAAATGGTGTAGGGTTCCTGCCTGAGCAGGGGGTTGGACTCAATGACCTCCAAGGTCCCTTCCAACTTTATTATTATTATTATTATTATTATTATTATTATTATTATTATTATTATTATTATTATTATTATTATTATTATTATTATTATTATTATTATTATTATTAAGATGCCAATTCATTTGGAGGACACTGAGTTTGGACAAAGTTGTCCTGCTGAGCTTTCCCATCCAGTCTTCTTTGGCCCTTATCTTGGCTGTCACTCACTGTGGTGTATTTGCCCAATTGGCAGAGGGCAGGGAAGGTCTCCTGGTGAGCCTTGCGCACTTTCTCAATGAGATCCTCCACCTCAGGTGTAATGATGTAGCTCTCTGAACATTCCTGTTTTGGAGCGTCTTTTTTCTTCTTGTTCCTATCATTCCGGACAGCTGCAAAGGGAAGCAAAGGGACAATAAATAATCAAAAGGTTCAATGAGCAACCAATCCATTCCTCATGCAGATTTATACAAATGATAACAGTAGCATTAGACTTATATATCACTTCACAATGCTTTATAGCTCTCTCTAAGAGGTTTACAATGTCAGCATATTGCCCCCAACAATCTGGGTCCTCATTTTACCAACCTCGGAAGGGTGGAAAGCTGAGTCAACCTTGAGCCGATGAGATTCAAACTGCCAAACTGCTGGGAATCGGCAGTCAGCAGAATTAGCCTGCAATACTGCATTCTAACCACTGCACCAGCACATCTCTGTTGTTGTTGTTGTTGATGATGATGATGATGATTATATAGTTAATTTAAGACATAATAGGAATTTCTGGAATCAGATAATCAATTCTGAAAACAGAGTTAGTCGCGCTAGTGAGAACTGGTTAGGTGATCTGGCTAAAGGAAGCTGTGTCCTGCCTTTCTGCAAATGACAGCAATACAGCCAATACAACTTTATTTTTCCTTTTCAAGAAAGATACATATTTCTCACTTTGTTTCTGATTGCTGAACTTCTGTGAATCTCATCCCACCCCCTCACCTTCATTTTTATTATGTAATTAAAAATTCTCAAATAAATAAGGTAATTTTTATTAGTGGTGCTTCCTATCCAAAATGTAGGTGATTTCATTTAAACTCCAAAAATAAAGAGATGCTAAAAGATAGTGCTGCATTTCCCAACCTGGTGCTCTCCTCAACTTTTCTCCTCAACAATACCTGGTCATATTTTGGGGAAATTATGGAGGTTGTAATCTACTCAGTACCAAGTCAGGTGTGAAGCACAGAAAATCAGGAAAACCCAGGCAGTTCAAATGAATACATACATTTATTGTATGCTTAAGCTCTCTGCAAGAATCTAAGCTACTAATGGTCAAAACAAATTGGCAGTAGATAAGAGTCAACAGAATTTAGGTGGGCTGGACTTAAAATCTTTTGTGAGTGTGAAGGGACTTGAAACTGATGACACATTTGACCCTCCCTTGGGCTCAGCCTGGGTCATCTCTTACATCAGGGAAGGCAGAAATAAAGAAATACCATTCTGGGTGGCTAATGATGAATCTAAGTTTTATCAGAATCCCAGACTGTTTTTGTTTTTGTGCTTGCTTTTTTCTATAATGTAAATATGGGCTTAGGTCACAAGCTGTCAACTAGAATTGCTCCAGTGCATGTATCTATCTTCACATTATCACATGTGGAAAATCATGCTTTGGTAAGGAAAATCTCAATAGCAAGCATGAGACAAGGAAGGAAAACTGAAGAGTTAGTTATTAAATGTATTATGCTTTTATTTTTTTATGCCACCTGCCTAATAAATAAGTAATCGCTGGAAAGGAACACAGAGATACTATCCAGATAGTTGTAAATCTTTAAAAATTGACTGAAAAAGAAAACAAAACTGTATTCCTGAAAGAGTGCAGAGAGAAGGCAAAGAGAAGGAAGAACAACAAAGATGCTGAGTTAGGAAGAAGAACTAAATGGGAATGCAAGTTGATAGAAAGCAGCAGGGGTCAGAGAACAAAAGAAGCTATGGGGCATTTGCAAGAAGGTGCTGAAATGGAGATTTAAAATATGCATTTAAAAGGGGACATTAAAAGGAGGAAACTCCCAGGACAATTATGCATTCCTAGAATTTGAATACTAGTTAACTAGAAAATTTGCAATAATTTCCCATATTGTGTAGAAGCAAGCTCAGTAAAGGAAGGATAGAACAAAACATATATAACAACAACAAAAAACCCAGGACAGAATATATTCATACAACAGAAGAAATTTCACTCAGTAATGGATTTTTTTTATCACCATCTTCTCTGGAAGAAAGAATCAGACTTGGAAATACAAGACTATAGCAGATCTCTCTATCATGCAGCTGATATTCCCTAGGACTGTTGGTTCCCAAGAACTCAAAAAGAGCTGCAGACTGCTTTCTTCACCTCTTGTAGATGACCTAAATGCCTCCTAACTCCTTAGCCCCAAACCAATACACGCTGCCATATGCTCCAAGTAAGACTAAACACAAGTTACAATGGTGCAACGTCATATTGCATGGAAAATAAAAATACCTCTTGCATATTATTCCACAGCAAGTATATAAGCAAATAATTCATCCAATCCACCACAGTATCATATTTATATCAATAACTTGTGCCTTTTGTAATATTTTTAATGCCTTAGCATAAGTGGAGAAAAAAATATGTGATTTTATGATACATATGTAGGCATGAAATGAAATGATAGAAGGTGTTGAAGCCACAGGAACCTTGGGAGGTAGTGATCATGCAATATTGGAATTCAACATTATGGAAGCACAAGCAATAGAACATAGTCAAACTAGAGTCTTGGACTTCAAGAGAGCTAATTTCAATAAACTTAGAGAGGGCTTGGGAAGGATTCCATGGATGAGAATCCTCCAGGGGAAAACAAC